TTTCCGAGTTATTGTTTGTTTTTTTCCTCTGAGTTCAGTGCTGATTTAAATTATGCGGACGAAACGCATGTAAAAAAAATCAAACACATTTTTCTCAAATTGGTTTGATTATAGGTGACAACTGATGTACACAAAACGTGCTTAAAATGTTAGCAGATTTGATTTGCGTATTTTGTTTGGCGATATTCGAGTACAAATTTTTCTCCCAAAAACTAATATTTTTGGCTTTATTATGGTCAATAAAAACCTATGACAATTATATTTGTTCAATTCCTGACAGATCAATTTCAAGTTGAGCCACTCACATAGCTCAACAAAATTTAAGAAAGGTGTAATCTCAAAAACATAAAACTATTCATTTTTTCAAATTGAATTAGTTTTGTTTGATAACCAAGGAATGTCCTTTTCACTTTATATAACGCCAATTTTTATTAAACATTTCTTTAAACGTTTTGCGCCAATAATTGGAGATTAACCCTCCTCAATTTTTTTGAGCTGCAAAAGAGACTCATTTTGAAACTTTTCAGCATTTGACCCAGTAGTTTTGGCGTATTTTTGTTTGTATAAAAAAAGTTAAAAAAATGACACTTTTTGGTGGTAAAATTTTGTTCAAAGACCACGGTTACTCAGGGCTAGAGTCACCAAAAGTAGCCGTAACAGTTTTTCATGTACAATGCTTTGTAAGTGAAACAAAGCAGATGTTTTACAAAAAGGTTATAATGAAAGTAACTAATTTCTAAGTTTTAGCAAAACGTTTCAAAAACGTTTCATTAATTATGCATTGCCGTAAGCACACAAAATCACGCAATACAAAATAAATCTTTGAGAGTTTTTGAAAAATTTTATGAAGAGAAACGGAGAAGTAATTAAATTTTGTGTATCCAAGCCTAAGTTAAGCACAAACAAATTGACTTTTGCAATAAGAAAAAATTCAAAAAAAAGTTTTGTTTGAGTAAAAAAAATCGTTTTGCTCTAGAAAAGTACAAATAAAATTTTCGGGGAGTTTTTGTAATTTCGGTTTGTCGCCATCAAACAAATGCTTCCATTTGTGTAAATTGTATGACCAGAAACTTTTTGTCGAACATTTTTTTTTTCATATGTGACGAAACGCCATTTTTTTGCCAATCAAGAAAAAAATTCTTCTGACTTCGGTTGCAACATTTTTGCAAAAATGTATGGAATTTTAATGACTAGCATTTTTCTTTAGACTTAGTTTATGGATTTTTATGATTAGCTTTTTCCGTCTATGGAGGTCAATTCAGAAGCACTGTACCAGGTCTTAGATCAAAATCACAGATATAAGATGCAATTTTTCTCTTTAATGAAATAACATAAAATTATCATAACATAAAATTAACATAAAATTTTTTAACATAAAATAATAATAATTGATACTGCTAATGAAAAAAGAAACTTCAATGTAGATATAGGCCTGACTGGTACCAAATTTACCCCATTTATTCTGAACGAATTTCGGATGGCATATTCAACTAATCGGGAGCAGATAAAGCTTCTCGGTTGAATTGTTTCCTTCTTTCATCGTGAACTGTTTGTCAGAAAAACTATGAATTCGCCTCTGCCATTTTAATCTCCTTTATATTACAGTGTTGTCTTCAATTTTAGGCCTGCTCTTTTTGTTTGCTTGTCGTGCAGGATTGGTCATCTAATAATCAGCCTTTTCTCTGACCTTTTTCTCATGAGCTCCTGACAATTTGATTTTTTTACCCTGTCGACACCTGCGGCTTCTGATTACTCCTAAAAATAAATTACTATTTTATCTTGTTAACAACTGCACTCCTGGCTCCCGAAAAAAATCATTTTTAACCTATCGACTTTTGCTCAAGGATACTGACAACCTATTGCTATTTTACCATGACGAAACCCGGGCTCCTGACTCCTGAAACCTATTCCTATTTATTCCTATTTTTTCCTGTTGACTACTGGGCTCCATACTCCTGGCAATCTTTCCCTTCTTTATCCTGTCGACACCTGGGCTCCTGACTGCTGACAATCTATTCCTTTTTAAACTAGGAATAGTTGATAGAGATTGGGAACCGAAGTACACATTTTTTCTGTCTCGCCATTTTAACTGCACTCAGAAATGAAAATGAAAATGACAAAGCAATAGTTTAATATGTTTCAACGGGGTAGCTTATACTTTCAAACAATAAAATGAATGTTTCTTTTTTGAACCAATTAGTGTTTGTTAAACCAAAAAAAAATCTTCTAAATTATTTGCTCTATCTAATTGAAGGATAATTTAAATTAAAAATTTGGTCAATTTTGAATTACAAAAACGTTGTAAATGGCTTGAATAATTTGAAGGGGCAACTTCATCTAAAAACAATGCAAAACATTGTCCTCGTTAACCAGTAAATGACGCCAATTGATCAAAATAGAAAAAATCTCAAACTGGAAGCTTAACGAAACGCTTCGCAAAACAGTGACCGTAAAATGGGTAAAAGAGAAACAATAAAATATAATGACATAATTCATTTCAATTTTTGAACATATCCATGTATAAATGATTATCAGTTTAAAACTGTTTCTGCTTTTCAACAATTGGTGTTCAATTTTTTTTGATCATTTTTCATTGTGCTTTGTATATAGGTTTTTTGCTCACTTCAATATCAATGTATGAAAAAAGTTTTCTCATGGGGAAAAAAATAAGCACTGTTAATTTTAGTTAATATTATAAACTGTTAACAGTGATAATATCAATTCCAAATTTATGCTGATTATTTCAGATAATTGAGTTGTATGTAATTGAAAAATTACAAAAAAAAAACGTGTGTAGAAGTATTGGGAACTGGTACATCCATCTCGAAAAACCAATACTACAAACACTTGTAAAATGCGTAAACTTACTTTTGGTATATGTAAGCGCAAACTTGGAGATGGTATGAACAAGTGTAGCCAGTTATTTTGCAATTAGTACAGAAATTTCCAAGCATGAACTTAAAAAGAATTTCATATTTTTATGTCTTTTTTTCAGTGTGGTGTGAAGAAGGGAGCTAAATATTAAACAAAAGATTAGACATACTCGACAGTCATAGTAAAATAAGCAAAAACGAAAATACTTATTTAGCAAATTGACAAGAAAAAAAAATAAAATAAAAAAAATCAAAAAATTTTTCGCCACTTTTTTTAATTTTTTGGATTTTTTGATTCCAGTAAGGCTCTAAAATGCTCAAAAAAAAACTAATGTTACTCGAGTAAAACTTCTTTTTTATTTTTTAGTTGAGCTATTGTAAGCTTTTAAGCCATCAAAATAACTTTTAAAAGCCTGCTCGCTCGCTTCATCAGCTCAGGATTTTTTTCTCCAATTCATCAGCAACCAATTTTTCTCAACTCAGGAAAAAAATTTTGATAAATTTTAATGTCGTTCGAAACAGGACTGTAAGGGCTTTAAAATATTATTATTCAAATTCATTTAATTCGTTTTGATGATTTTTTATAGTTTTGCGTGGAAAAAAAAAGAACCAAAAAATAAACACACCAGAATACAAATTTCCTCCACATTCTTTAAATGGTCGGAACACCTCTAAATGGTCGGAACAAACTCTTTTTTGAGTTTATCCTGAAATTCCGAAATGAGTTTTTTGCTATTCTGGCTGTGGTCTGGTCAAAAGTTCCTGTGTCAAAGCTTTCGTCGTACAAAAAAAGAACGGTGAGACTCAACATTGGTATTCCAGACCGTTGATAATTTGAATAGGCCGTTCCAGACCATCAAGACTCATGAAAAGATTTTCATCTATGATCATATGAAACCGGTGTAGCCTTTCCTCTCATCTGAAAATCCTCGACGTTGTCAGAATTTTCAGGTCGCGACGTTGATACAAGAAAAGAATGGCGGCGCGAGTTAAGAAAAGGCTGAAGGCGCGAATGTTGCGCAACATCAATAGCGGATTAAGGAGGGGGGCGGATGCTTTTTTCAGGGATTCGACCCCTTGCCTACCCGAGTCGAGATTTTTCACCTAATTTGAAGCAAGATTTGAGCGGTTTGAGCGGTTTTTTTAGACAATTACGCTCAAAATCTTGCTTCAAAATGAGCGGTTTGAGCGGTTTTTGAACAGTTTAACTAAAAAAAACCGCTCAAAAACCGCGCAAGATTTGAACGGTTTTGAGCGGTTTATCTAAAAAAAAAACGCTCAAAAACCGCGCAAGATTTAATAATAAAAATTCGACCACAGTGGAATTCGAACCCGTTAGGCTATGCGGACTTGCTGGAAGTGTAATATTCGCTGTATTTGTTCTACTGACAAAGTAATCAAAACTGCTTGTAGCTCTTAAGCAGGCGAACTACAACGGTTAACAGTAAAAGAGCCACACAGCCAGTCGATCCAGAAACACCGGCATAGACTCAACTGCAGCCGCATTGGTCAGCAACAGAGTAACTAACAGAAGATTGTAACTAACTTTCTCGTCTAACTTTCTGTAACTAACTTTCTGAGTAACCAACTCTCTCGTCAGAGGAGCCACGAGATATCACTTGAAGGATCGTGGTGTCGAGAGATAAGAGACCCAAAGTGAGCCCAGAAGCGAGACCTCAAATTAAACCGATAAACGTGAGGGGGTTACGTCGTGGGTTGGGGGGGTACGTTGGGAGGGGGGGTACGTTGGTGGGGGGTTTGTTGGATGTTGGATACGTTGAGGGGGTACGTTGGGGGAGGGAGTACGTTCCAAAAAAACCGCCCAAACCGCTCAAACCGCTCAAATCTTGCTGGAAAACCGCTCAAACCGCTCAAATCTCGAGCGGTTTTTGAGCGGGATCTCGACCCGGGTACCCAAAGGGTCCCCCCTTTGTACTATTTTGAGATATCCATTTTTGGCTGATTGACCTTAAAACTTTTCTAAAGGCGCCTTAACAAAGTTCGATCCGGGTTCGAACATTCGCAGCGACCGGTTTGGCCTAGTTTTAATTAGTGAGTTAAAAGCATTTTTTTGGAATTAAATACAATAGTTTCTTAAACAACTATTTAAGACACGATTAGCCCAACGTTTTTTTTTTTGATCAACTAACAATAGACATTGAACGCAAAAATAGGAATTTTGTTTTTTAACTGCAATTTATATAAAAGTTTTTTTTTCGATTTTGTTACGAAAAAATGAGAAGCACCAATTCGAGGTTTACTTCCATTGCCGTTCCATTATGTGTTCACATTTAATATCCTTTGCTGTAATCGACAATCAGCGCTGGACTTTTTCCTTCTTTTATCAACTGAAGATTCTGAACAAAATTTTCCAAAGCTGGCACATAATACATTTCGTCAATGGAGCCATTTGAGCTGTGGGGAGTTATCGTTACACTGGGATGATCCCACAATTTGCTGGTTTGAGGCAGTGGCTCGGTCTCGAATACGTCTAGAATAGCTTGTCTGATCCAGCCCTTGTCCAGGGCTTCCAATATTGAATCCTCGTCTAGAAAAAAATGGTTTTACGAGGAGGAATTGAGGTGACCAATGGTAAATAGGGTGAATGTTTCCATTATTTTAGCAGTGGCTAGTTTCTTTGCAAAGAGCACAGGATGTTAAGACCTGCCAATAAGCCAAAAAGCGTTCAAATTAGACTAAATTTTTTTTTAAATTAGACTAGAACTTTTGACGCTTGTATACCTTTGACGCTTGTATAAAACCAGCCAAAGTGTAAACTAGCTACCATACAAACTAGCAATTGTTATATACGAACTGTTATATAATTATGAAACAAATTTGAAAGCAGGGGCGTATTTAAGGGGAGGTGCAGGCGGATTCGACCCCTCACCAACCACAGGGCCCCCACCCCTTGGTATTATTTTATGACATCCTTTGGCGCCAATATATAATGATTTTGAAGGGAAGCGCGCGCCGCAGAAACATGATTTTTTGGTCATAATTTTCCAAAAAGCGCCGAAAAAGCATTTTGACAAGTTTTCTTCCAAAGTTTTGCTTGCTGCGCAGCAAAAAATGTCAAATTACGGCCTATATAGTGGTCTGCTAAAGCACTCCGTGATCTAATTTTCCTTGACCTTAAAAAACATCGACAAAAATTTTTTATAGAAAAAAATATTAAGCCACCCTCCTTCGAGAAATTCTTTGAGATCCGCCCTGTTCGAAAGTTACGCAATTTAAGTTTGATTCATCTGACATATTTTTTCTGCTGGCCTAAATACTTTGCTCATTTTTGGTTAGTTTTTAATTCGGCTGGTTTTTATTTCGGCTGGTTTTTTTCGGCTGGTTTGTTTACACTCACCTATGACAGACCCCCTGCCTACATTGATGAATACTGGACTGTTCGCAGCAGCCACTTCCAGAGTGCCAGAGGACAGTAGGTCAACAGTGTGGGGGGTGTGTGGCAGGGAGTTCACTAGGAAGTCACTCTGACGCAACACAGACTCAACATCTCCAGTGTAAATTTGGGCGAAGTTCTGAAATTCAACAAAACAATTTAGCTTTCAATTTAAAAACTGTTTTCATAAAGTTCACTTTGAAATAAAAAAGTGAAAACGTTAAAACATAAAACACTATTTTTTTGTTAAAAGTAGGTAGACTTCTTTTTATCAAAGTCTTCCTTTTGTATAGCGGTGTACGGGGTAAAACTTCAATTTTTTTTATATTTTGTTTTGTTTATTTTTTATATAAAACTTACATGCGTATACTTGGACTACTTTATCCTAATTTGCTTTAGACAAATGAAAAAAATCTACACAAATTTCTCGAAGACACACATCTCCACAAATTTCTTGAGATCTACTAAACAATTCCCCCCCCCCTTCAAGAATGGTCAGCAATTGTTATAAGTAGAATAAGTTGTCGAGTTTCCACCAATCAGACTGCAGCAAAATTTGCTTTTTAAATAGAACGCTATGGAGGTAATTTACTGTTTTATTTGCATTGGTGGCAAATCACTAGTAGATACCAAAGGGAGGGCGACTATTAGGTAGATCCAAATCTCGAAAGCTAGAGATGTCGGCACAGCGGAAAATCCACAGGAGAAGTGGTTGAAGTTACTGGAAGGGAGGCGTTACCTTCATAATTTTCCTCCGACTTTCTCCAGGTTCAAAGACGTTTTTTGTCAGTCTCTTTTTGTCAAGTTTTTTCCAAGCTCTTTTTTTTATATTTTGTTTTTTTTTAGACTTTTAGTCTTTTTTCTTTATTTTGAGCCTGTTCATCTACATTTATTATTTCCAATATACAATGGGTTTCCGGGATCGTTTTGCCGGATCGTTCTTGTTTTTTTTCAGTTGTAAGATCAGGTACCGCGACAACTCGCAATTCAAGGAAACTCGCAAAATTTGATCATCGGGGAACCGAAAACTCGCCAACTTTGATGATTCACCTATAAGTTTCGGTAAATTTCGATTAAAGGCAGCCGGTGGTGACTGCGGTGTCATACAGTTTAATACCAGCCAATTTAACACCGTATATTTCAACACCTGGTCATTTCACTACTAAACATTTTAAACCCACAACAATTTGACTCCAACTTTTCATACTAACATCTTACACTTTAACACCGTACATTTCAACACCATTTCGCTACTAAAATTAATACTTGATGATTTCGTTATCTTAGCTCTTATCGCACCAAAGTTAGTTCTGCAATTAACGCCCGCATCATTCTGAAAAACTTGGTTTGTTTTAGTCATTCATGCTAAAATGAGGCTTCGTAAATCACTTAAGACTCTGATGGACAAGTTCATAGTTTATTTTCGATTAGAAGTTTTGCTAAACCATATGTATACTACAAAACCTGCTGGTGTTAATTCATAACAATTTGACACAATATCAAACACATAAATGTCGAGCATCTGCCGCTACAGAAAATAACGAATAGCAGCATAAGGAGACATTTCGCGTGGAGAGCATAATCATGACATTTCAGTGGAAAAATCAGATGCCCGAAATGTCAAGAAGCATTTAAAAGATCTCAGCGAGAGATTTACACCAACTGACGCAAATTTTAGTTAGATTTCGAGCAAGCTGCTCTTCGGTCCTTCCAAAAAACAAACAGCGAAGATCTTTTTTTGGATGTTTTGTCCATCACTCTCCAGAGTTTTTTTGAGAAAAATAGATGAGTTGAGCCTGAGGGTGAACTACGAACCAATTTACGACAATTTAGCGCTGGTCCTAAAAATGCTGTCTTGCCTTGCATTTGAAAAACAAGAAAAGATTGGCGATTCTTGATCGAAAACTCAGAATGTATGCGAAAGAAATTGTTACGAAACCGATGAAAAACAGAAAAAATGACGAGTTGTGTCTTTACTTCAACTATTCTTATATAAAAGGCGTGGTGCCAAACTGTGAAGTTTTATTCCCACCCTCCCGTTGACACCAGCAAGATGCGGCCGTAAATCAGGTTGCTAGAACAACATAGGATGGAATTTTGGCATCTATTCTTATTTCAGCGGAGCGCACCCAAAAATGTGAAAAGACGTGAGCAGTCTGCATAAAAACGCCTCCGTACAAAATCAAAACTTTGATGATGCATCGAGTGGCCATAAAATCAAAAAAAAAAGAAAAACTACCGCGTATTAAAAAAAACTGATTTTTGTTTCAGAGCGTTATCTAGTTTTTGTCGACTTTGTCTTGTTTTTGTTTATTCTTTTGTATTATTGAAATTCAAATTTCAATTAAATTTAAAATTTTGTCAGCTTTTTTGAAAAAAAAAAACAATTCCTTGCATACTCCCCAAGCGTAACTAAACGCAAGAACTTGAATCGCGCACTAGCATTTTAATCCCAGGACAACCGCACTTATTTTCTGGTCGCTAGGTTGGGACTAGGGACTGGCAAACCATCTATTTTTCGTTTATTTATCAACAGTTTGGAAAAAGCTGACAAAGCGATCAGATTCAGGGTTTAAGTTTGAGAATGGCTTTGGTATTGGTTAAACCTTTTTTAATTTCTTTACCGGATGAAACTGTCAGCAAATTGGGCCATACTAGTCAAAAGTTGTCTTACTGTTCACGGGCCTTTGAAGTTCATTTTAACTATTGCTTGTTTTTAGTTCAATTTGGAACAATTCAATGAAAATATTGGCAGGGCCATTTTGTTTTGTTTTGGAACGATTCATTGAAATTATGGCAAGGTCATTTCTGCTCAAAATTTATGCGAATTATGTAGTGCAAAATTATCTGGCTTTAAATAGCAAAATTTTCTCTCATTTTTTTTTGTTTCGTCAAGTCTCCTTTGAAGTAAGGTTTTTCTATTTAAAACGGTCTTAAGTTATTGCATTGACTTTAAAATGTAGCGATAGGAAATTGGTAAGGCAACAGAAGTAGGATGTGAAGTTGTATGGTGTTAAGTCGCTAGAAATAAAAAAAGGGGAACCTTCAAAAGGGGAGAAATTAAAAAAAAGTTTTAACCAACGCTAAAAACCTAAAAATCAAAAATTTCTACCAATAACTTAAACCAATAACCTGATCGTTTTGTCAATTTTTTTGAACTGTTGGCACAAAAACGCTAAACTAAAGGGTTTGCCAGCCCATTGCCCTAACCTAACAAGCGAAAATAAGGGCGATTGTCCTGTGATTAAATTACTAGTGCACGAGTCAAGTTCATCCAATTAGTTACCTTTCCGGGAGTCTATTGCGGCGATAGTATATTGCGAGTTGTCTTTTTGAACGAGTTGTCTTTTACACGTGTTGTCATTTAAAACAAGTTATTAATAACTCGAGTTATGTTTTAATGAGAGTTGTCTCATTAATTAAGTTGTCTTTTAAATTGTTATGTCTTTCAAATTGAGTTATCTATTAATGCGAGTTATCTTTTGTTGTGAGTTATCTTTTGTAGCGAGTTGTCGGATTACGACATCACACCTGTTTCGCTGTGGTTGAGGCCGAGTAACCGATGCAGCGCATGCCCAGTCGTTTACAGGCTGCAGCCACTTCACCGCCTATATCCCCCACTCCCAGAAAGCCCACAGTAACTTCCTCTATCGGCCTAAAAACTCAATATCATCATAATAAATTCGTTTTCAAGAAAGCAGCAGACTCGATTATTTTATTTACGCAAGTCATAGCAACGAATTTTAAAAAATGACATCTTGGAAGAGTACCAAAAAAATATTGAGTGGTATCAATCAAATTTCACCTTAAGTTTCTGTTTTGCCTTTCTGCATTTTAAGTATTATGTCAGCTTGTTTTTGAGCAGTTTTTGAAAGAATTGGCGGAACTCTTGGAAACTCGTGGAGATAATTACGTACCGAACGCTGATTTGCTGAATGAAATGGCGGCAAATAATAATCATGTGTTAAACGGTTGCTATTCAAAAGTAATACAGACTTTTTTGAACACTCGAAGAAGCAAAAATTTTGAGTTTTTTTTTGCTGATTTTGTTCTTCGGGATAACTTTTTCCATTTCTCTAGTATCGGGCTCTGCGATATAGTTGTAGTAGAAGTAGCGATATGAATTATTCCCAACCGAGCAATGACCATCATAGTCGCAATAATGTTAGAACATTAAGCAAACCTTTAAAATAGTCGAATTACCGTGTTTTTATTGTTTTCTCTCGAAAATTAAAGTTTTTATTTTTTGGGTCCCCTGTAATAAAAAAAAGTTTTGACGTCGAATATGGTTTTAGATGCCGCCACTTCCCTTCCACTCCTTTTCTCTTTGAAGTTGTGAGTATTGAGGGAGTCTATGATAATAAGAGAACATATGAGCGAGACAGTAGGCTGCCATAGGTCGGGCCAGGCTAGTTCTAGTCACCAGTGGCATGTCATCCCCTCGCATCCTCACAAACTCCTGGGAAAAGAATAGGGACCATTTAAACACATATTTACTCCCTCTATGCTACCGAGTAAAGAATCTGTAAAAATTTAATCCGATGATCCAGCAATGCAAATTCTAATAATAGTGACAAACGTCTCACCCCTCTGTAACAAGGAGGAAGATTTAGATTTAGACTGCGATGGAAAACTATAAGCAAAAGATTTGTTCGAATACTTACAACAGACATTTGAGTTTATATATAACTCTCATTTAGGTAGTGATAATTTGTATCCGATTTTTATTTCAAGAAAATGTTTTAAAATTTGTCAACGCTCAAATTTGATATTTTGCAGCTTGACATTTGGTTTCTTTACATTTTGTTTCTTAAAAGGAAGGCAAACTCCGCCATCGAAAGCAAAAGTGTAATTACCACGAAAAACATGATTAAGTTTTTGTTTCGAAAGTGAATTTTGAAAATATATTAAAATTATTCTGAGACTATGAGAGGAAATTTGAGAATATATTGAATTTATTCTGAAATCATGGGAGATGATTTTCAAAATGAAAGCAATTTTTAATATTTCGCAATTTTCATTGGAAGTGTCAATTTTTCCTTGAACCTAATTCTACTCAATAGCCGTTGGTCGTTAAAGGGCACTCGGAACATTCAGACCATCGCCCTGATACGGGCAGGCAGCTTTGTTTCTGTAGGAATCGAAAGAATGTTTTTTTTTGAAAAATTTGTCAATTCTTTCTGTTTCCTTGCGCTGAATTTTTTTTTTGTAACTTCTGTTTTTTTTTAATCTAATTTTCTTCAACGGAACGTTTAAATTTTAAGAAAAAGAGATGATCATAAATAAATATTCTAAAGAAGTAAAGCATTTCAACTTATTGAACTAGTATTTTTTTAAAAATTTTACTCGAAATCATTGACCCTTTTCAGCTGTTTATTGGTTATGTTCGCACAGGTTGACCATCCCACGAGTACCACCCTAACTCAAGATCTTTTTTAAAAACTCTGAAACAGGCGACTTACATAAAAAAAACAATGAACCTAATCCGAAGTGTCAAAAATTTTTTCAAAGTGTCTTTTTACCGTAGTTATTGTTTAAGTCAATTTTGGAAATAGCTTGTGGATTTTCAGATGTTTTATTCAAAAAATTTTAAAAAATAAATACAAAAACAAAAAAAAATCATTTTTTCTGAAAAAAAGTATTTTGTATTTGACCTATAAGGTTCTTGAATTGTTATCTGGGACAGCGTGAAATTTTTTCTTATTGTAAAGAACAATTAAAAAAAAGTTAAGACAAATTTTTGTTTAAAAAAATCTTGTCTTAGTTTTTTTTTTCGTAAAAAAGTTGCTATCTACAACCTTTTTTATACTAAGGTATCCACAGAGTAAACTTGTAACAACCTTAGAACCTAATTTTTTAAATCTAACCTAAATTTTAAAGTTCCTTCGCGCACTGACAAAAATGGTTTTGGAATAATTTCAAACCGATTGTACATCAATCCAAAATAAAAACGTACAATTTTGGGAACTGAAATGGTTTTCAAATCGATTTAAACCGATCTTATTGGAAATTTTTGGATCAGTTTGAGTGTCTAAAAACCTATTTAAGGGCGTTATAAATCAGATTTTGAGCTCAGATACATGCAATTAGTTCGTAGAAAATCATCAATGCAAAAACCTATGTAATGAATTTAAAAAATGGTCAAAATATATCAGTTTTTGAGCACAAAAACTTTCTATAAAATAATCAATGGCAGCCAGATTCAGCAAAATTTTATAATACAATTGATAAAAATGATCCACATAAAACAGATGGCACTTTGAATCATTCCAAACTGGAAAGAAACTTGAACATACAAAAACATTTGATCATTTTTCATGTTACAGACGTTGTGGATGAAAAAATAAAAATTGATTGGCAATGAATAAATGCAAAACAAACAAGAAATGGAAAATATGAAATGGAAAATATATATTGTTTTAAATCAAATGGAAAATATATGTTGTTTTAAATCAAATTAAATCGATATAAATTCCTTTAAATCCGCTAAAAACGAAATAAAAATAGAAAAAAGGATTTGAGTTGATTAAAAATTGATTTGGATCGATTTTTTTCTACAGGGACTTGTGATCAATTTAAATCAATTTTAATTGATCCAAATCAACTTTACTTTTAATTGATCCAAATCTATTTGATCTTCATATTTTTCATGCTAAAATTAATAACAATTGTAGTTCCTGTGAATCGCTGAGGAGCTATGAGTAGGCCTTAACAGTCCTGTCGAGGATAGGCCATTTGTATTATCTCCCCACATTCCAGACAGATTTATTTTGCTGAGCGTAGCTGTTTTTTGCGACTCAAGGCCGTTTTTTTGCGTCTAGAACTTTTTATGTGGTACCACTATTGCAGCCAAATTTGTCCACCTGAAGCTGGAGGTGAAGTGAGAGCTTGTCCTCACACACTATCATTGCCATGGCATGGGATCGAATACATGCTCTGACGATTTCAGAGCGAACGCCTTACCACTGTGCTAAGTGCCTCCAATTTAATATATATTCTTTTTTTCAAGCTAAAAACGATATTAATCCATTTTTGTCAGTGCGGTTTGCTTGATACTAGTTTGTTCATTTTTGCCGTTAAACATAAAGGCACGACGAATTTTGCTTAAAAGTTAGCATCAAGCTTATCTGATAAGAACTATATCCAGGAACATCCATCCCAACTCATATGTTATTTATCTAATGTTTGTTTTGTTGTGTGTCTGAAGTTTTCATCATGTCCAATTAAAAAAATATCAAGAAATACCTTGAAGTGCTCGTTTTCCATTAGTTTGTTCACTCCTGAAGTTGAGCTGTGTATCCATTGCACGTTACTTCCAATCAACTGCCCTGCAAACTCCGCAACTTCGGTGCCGTCCGCTACCAAAATCTCACTTGAAGCAAATGCACTGCGGACTAATGTAGAACCACCAGAGCTTAACATGCCGAAAAGGGAGATTTTTCCTTCTTAGTAAGTTGAATAAAGTTTTACAAATTTCGTTGAAATCGATAACGAGACATTGTTTTCCATTCATGTATACAAAAATCGGAATTTGAATCGGACGCATGAAAACGGACCTGTAGATTGTTCTACATCTTTCAGTCGGTGGTTGGAGATTTGAGATTTGAGATTCGAGATTAATTATGATCGATGCTCGGTGCCTGAGGCTGAAAAAAGATTTTCAATCCCAGAAAAATAATGTTTATCTTAAAATACCTTATTCCTGTTTAGTTAAATGCATTCCTAAATTTTTTTAGTAAAATTAAGGTTAAGTTAAGGTAAATTACCTTAATTCAGTTAAGGTAAATTTTACCCTAACAATTTTTTAAGGTAAAGTTAAGGTAATGTTAGGGTAAATTTTACCTTAATTTTTTTTTTACCTTAACTCATTTAGAGTAATTTTACCTTAACATTTTTTTGAGTGTAAGTTCTCAACCATATGGACTCAACGATATCTTTCAGCGTCGGGCTGAACATTTAGTATATTGGATTATAAAAGGTCTATTACATAAAATTGTGTCTATGTGATGTTAAGACGATTTAATTACAAGGGAAAGTAGCAACATACAAGCTGTTCAGCTCATCACGGCGAACGGCTGAAAGTGTTTCTTCGTCAAATCCTAATTTTATTGTTCTTAATTACTTTTTGATAACCTGAAGTAGAAAAAATCTCTGTGTAACCCGGGTTGTTTCAAGTCCAAAAACTGGATCTTATATTCTGGACAGACTCTGTCAAGTAATTTTTTTCTAGCTTGTGGGTAGTTGACAAAAGAATTGCACACACAAAGTATTGATCGGAGATTACGGAGCATGTTTATGTTAAGAACAATTTCTGCTTAACAATTTCTTGTCATAATTATAAGAAACTGGCTTTCCGTTAATCGCTGTTAAGAAAATCGAAAGGTTAATCGAAAGGTTATCTCTTGTTTGAATACTATTGAATCAAGGTTAAAGCTTTATGGTAAAATTTTCAGAATGAAGTCAGCGTCAAAATTAGGTTCTATTATCGAAATGACCCCATGAAATTAAATCGCAATTGATCAATCGAAACTCGATTTATGTGTTTCGATTATCAGTTTTGATTGGTATTACTGGTAAATATAACTAACTTGAATCGAATGAACAATCTGGTTTAATTTACAATTTCTATTTAAAATGCAAACTTATATATGTTCCGACTGCGTTTTAAGGCTTATGGAGCAGTAATTACAAAAATATTATTAACATATTAAATGTAATAAAATAAAACGAACGTTTTATGTGTGTTGTTTCTCTCGCTAGCTCTTTGGTAGTTGCATGAATCGATTGACTTTAATCTGAACACAGAGAAAAACGTTGACTTTCTTTATCTTACGTGCTGGCTATACCGCCTCATTAGACCAGCCTGAGAGCGTTTTAAAACTCAGCTTTGAGAGTTCCGCCTTGAGAAATACATACCATAGAGTAAAGTTTATTAGTAGTAAGTAGCTCGGTATTCACTAATCAAAACGATAGTAAAAAGGAAAGTAAACGGCCGAGACCATATGATAAGCTCGAATCTTTAAAAAGATTAGAAGTGAAATTTGTAAGACGGTACCAAAAATGATAACCCTGCCCTTATCCCCAATGGAAACAAAGGAAGCCAACTGTTCGTAACCAACTGTACGGATTGAACATAGATTTGATAGTTAAACTACTAATAGAAAATCAACAAGACTAAAGAAATCTAGTCCCGAAGGAAATCGGCAGTAATAAGAATGCGACGCGGAAACAACGTCTCCTGAAACGTGTGGTTGAACGGGACATTTACTTAGCTCCCCAGTGGTGTTTTTTGCTTTTTTTTGCAATCAGATAGCTGATAGATAAACTACGCGTCCCTGATAGCTAGAGGGAAGTGTTTGAAATTGAGTTAAAGTGAGAATTTCAAAAACTTGAAATGCGGTAGCTACATTTAGAAAAGACCTCTCTCAAGACTCAGGAGGCCGGAACGCTGACGCGATAATCAAATGAAGTCCTTGAGAAGTCGCTAAGATAAACATAACTTGGATTAGAGGTGAAATTGGACTTGATATTTGCACAACATAGTTAGAAAAACCTAAAACGAACTTGGCATTCTTAACTAGTGTTGCCAGGGGAAACATCCGACTAGGATTTTGCGCAAGGGTACCAGGACTTGTAGGGACGATCATAACTATAACTAAAGTTTAACTAGACAATAGCGAAAGGTGTTAAGGCTTGCATATCCTGAGGGAGAGCGATTAGAGCTGTGTTGAAGTATAGTCGGTTCTCAAAGTTAGTTAGAGAACAAGTTACGCTAAGAGAGCGAACAGTGTGGTTAGTTACAGAACAGCTCGACACTTATGAGGGCAGTGATTCTCCCAAGTGTATGAGAGTAATGTGTTAAGTTTTTGACTTCTCAAGAGTCAGAGATATTTGATTGAGCTATTGAGGATAGCAAAAATGTAGAGAGTTATTTAGTGTTAACGGGATGTTGAATTGTAATCACAGACTCTTTTGTTTTGCCTAATTATTCCATTATTTTTAGGCCACTTAGAGTTCTCAGTTTTTGGGCCTTCTTTTTTGAAATTAATTTCATTTGGAAATTTTTGCGAGCAATACAGCCAAAAGGGGTCAAACAACATAGTACAGTACAGAATAGGTGCCACCAAAATAACCCTCTCGTGATTGATTTTGGATTCCAAGGGACCGCTTTACGGTGCCGTTAAATAAGAGAGAGAACGGAACTAGAGAAGCAATCCCCTGAATATACATATTTTTTTGTATAAATAGCTTGTTTTACAATTTGGGTATCAACACGTTTCAATTTGATGTGCTTCTCTTACCAAAACTTCATGGGAATCGTACGCGGCACTATATATGGCGCTATACCAAATAGAAATTTTCTATCAAACAAATTTGTTATGACGTCCTTTGAAAAATATTCCCTAATAAAAAATGTGCAATCATATTTCGGACCATTTATGAAATTTGCGTCCATTTAACGATTTCATTTGTCTGCAACCGTTTTTTGCTTGTATGGAACCATATATGACTCGAGGTACCGGTTCACATTGTGGTCAAACCGGGTTCATAGAAGTATCGGAAAAACAATAGTAAGAAAACAATCCTGATGAAGCAAATTTTGCATTGCAGATGCTAATCAAAAAGTTGCATGTCATCTCTTTGCAACATAAAATGCGTTCGTTCTTCTGCCATCTCACTTTCATCGTGAGTTAGTTCATTAGCAGATGTTTATAAAAATCAAAGGTCAGCTCCGCGACATTTAAAACACAATCTAAGATAAAAAGTGAGTATAGGTTTTACATCAAACAGCTGTATTTATGTAAGACACTTTTTGTTCGATATTGGAAGAGATTTTTTTGGATGTTTTGTGTTCCAAATCAATACTGAGAGGGCTTCACTCTTTTGGCCAGATAATGTCTCCTAGTTTTTTTCTGCGTGACCTCTAAAACTGCTGGGAAATGTTGACTTCACTCCCAGCCTTACGCATTATCCATCATTTGGATCTTCTGACTTTTTAGTACATGACTTGTTTTTTCTTTTAAGTCGCAAAAAATTTATCCAGGAATCGGAAAATTTACCATACAAAACTGATAACCTTTGCCAAATGAAAAAATTGTGTACTCTTTGTTAACCTTGGCCATTTACTGACTTAAAACCAGAAGTAAACCAATCTAAGACTAATCCACCAAAAAAAATCTGTAAAATTTTAAAACATTTCCACATTTAGGTTTGGTTCATTGAATTTTCAGCTAAAAACTATACTATTTTAGTTTCACGTTTCAGAAAAAGGGAGAAGGAACGAAGAACACGAACCAATTGGCATGGAAGGCGGAAGTCCGAACCAGAACTTTCAGACCACTTACAATGCTGCCTACACGAATCCATCTCCGACTGGATCTCCAGGAACGACCTTTTTCAAAATATAGACACTATCGAACATACCCCTCCCCTGCCCATTACAACTAAACAAACACAGCGTTATCCGGTCGGATATAAATAACCGAACCGTGGGTATAACACACAGATACAGAATTTGCTTAACAAAAATTTTATACCGTCTCAGTTTTTTAATTTCTCTCTACGTTTTTAAACAAAACTTTTTTAACTCCCTCATGAAAAGATTATTAGTGACTTGAAACTCAATTTTTTTATGCTGCAGGTAGACCATCAGCTAAAATTTTTGCTTTAAACATTTTTATTTCTTAATTTTACTACCCGTGAACACCCGTAATTTAACTACACCTTATTGTCAACATTTCTATTTGGCCAAAAGGTTTCCATGTTGTCCTCAAAAACTAAAAAAATCTCATTTTTGCGTTTATACTGGAGAAAAAAAAGTAACTCAACTTGATAATTCAGAAACAGAAAAATTGTGAATTCAGAAAAAAATTTAAAAAACTCAAAAATTTGATCTTACTCCCAAAAGTACTCATTTTTCAAGCTGTCATTTGAAACTCAGTTGCTCATTTTTTGGATCATATGCTGAAAACAATAGTTTGATTTGACCTTAGTCCTTATTCTTGAAGTGCAAATTTTTGTTCACATACATGGTCCGATGTAAGTGAAAACCACTCGTTACACCACCACACCGCAAAATGGATAAATGGATGCTGAGTTCAGGTGGAAGGGGGGAGGGGAGGGAGTGAGTTTTTTTTGCTGTATACTTTTCAATCAGTTTTGACCTATCCCAAAGATTGTTCCAAAGCAGACCTTTACAAATACATAGTTCATGGGTGAAGCTCACATCTTTTCTTTTGAACAAAATATCCAAAACTGCCCAAAAACATACAATTGAGAATGAAGTCGGATCAAAGTTTCCGAAGTTAATTTGTTTTTCAAAACTGTAGGTCCATTTGCCCCTCCCCGACCGCCCAATAGTCCCAACAGGGTCCTACCGACAAGTGGGCAACCAAACAAGAGTGGGGCACTCTTTGAGCCTCCAAAAAACTCACCAAACAGAGCAGGGTTCAGCAATTGAATTCAAGCAGATTAAAGTAAAACAAAACTAGCCAATTGAAACGATCGAAGTAAAGATGAAAAAATTATGGGAAAAGCAACTAAGTTTGCTTCAAAATATTACGTTTTTGGTAGGATGGGGGATAAGGGTAAGATTATTTGACATACGACAACTACAAAAAGACTGCTTGCGAAAAATATAACTCGCAATTTTTAAGGAAAGCAACCCGCACTGTAGTTTCATGGAAAATATTCAACTAATGCATTTTTGTTGTCAGTGTCTATACAATTACAAAAAATAATTATAAACTATTAGAAATGAATTATAATGACGCTATTTTTCTGAGGAATAAAATCTTTTTAAATCGATTGTTGTCAATTGTAATAAATTTTTTTGGAAAAGAAAAAAGTTTAGGTAAAGTAATCGATTTTTTTGTTGTCGTTTTTTTCACGAAAATATCAGTCAATTTTAAATTTAATTTTTGAGTTCATTTTATTAAGTTTTGCTTTCGTTTTTGTGCCGCGCACCCCCATCCCACCGTTCAACGACATCCTTCCCACGCATATGCACAACCTCATCAACTCTACCTCCATTGTGTAATCTACTCTTTTCGACCATTTATCCACGAGGGAAAGGGCCAACATGCGAGCTGTAGAGCTCATCACGGCGAACCGCGGTTGTGCCCCTGCTTAAGAACTACATGCAATTTTTTTGGTTATTTTTCTGGACTGGGTAATGTTGCCGCAATCTCAAGCAACGAGCACTTGGTAAGATTAACTTTGTGAATAACGTGGGGCAAGATGGTTGTTTTGTCGAAAGAACAAAACTATTAGGTCCATTTATCCACGAAGGGAAGGACCAACATACGAGCTGTACAGCTCATCACGGCGAACCACTGTTGTGCACCTGCTTAAGAACTACATGCAATTTTTTTGGTTATTTTTCTGGACTGGGTAATGTTGCCTCAATCTCAAGCAACGAGCACTTGGTAAGATTAACTTTGTGAATAACGTGGGGCAAGATGGTTGTTTTGTCGAAAGAACAAAACTATTAGGTCCATTTGTCCACGAAGGGAAGGACCAACATACGAGCTGTACAGCTCATCACGGCGAACCACTGTTGTGCCCCTGCTTAAGAACTACATGCAATTTTTATGGTTATTTTCTGGACTGGGTAATGTTGCCTCAATCTCAAGCAACGAGCACTTGGTAAGATTAACTTTGTGAATAACGTGGGGCAAGATGGTTGTTTTGTCGAAAGAAAAATACTATTAGGTCCATTTATCCACGAAGGGAAGGACCAACATACGAGCTGTACAGCTCATCACGGCGAACCACTGTTGTGC